ATTCAACTGTTTCGTGCAAGCGTATCCACTTCAAAAATCCTGGACGTATTGACCCTTGCGCCCGTTTTCAATCCGACTTCCTTATTTAATTTGCTTCCTGCGCCTGACATATCATCTGTTCTTCAAATTCGGCACTACCATCACCCCAAGGTGATTTTCTGAAATCCCGGACCAACGTGATTGACACGTGAGAAGGGAGGGTACAAAAGCCAGCCTTAGACACGGAGTAGTCTTTCAACGCGTTTTCTTTGCAGCTGCTTGGGGAGATCCCATAAAATAGCACCCCTTTGCTGGTGCCATGTTTTCTTCCCTATCACTTTGACAAAGCAATCACAAAGGGCACCGCCACACATGGCCTTTGTCATTGCGTGTGCGTTTCGGCCCACCGTCTCTTGGACCGCTTGGATGGTGCTCCAAGCGTTAGCCGCGCGTCCCGAAAGTAGCCATATCTACACAGAATTGGACAGGCCACTTAAATGGTATCCTTGCCACTCTGTGATGCTAATGATGCTATTTTGCATCACTCGCATCACTAAGGCCCCATAAAAACATGCATTTTGATTGTACTTTGGCCAGGCACCACCTCGCAACCCCCCAAAACGCACTTCGTTCACCTATCAAGCGCTCGAGCCTAACCTATCGGCTGGCTTTCGTAAATTACAAGAGGTATCTAAATTTCTAAATTTATATGTTGTGTGGTTGACCCCTAGGAAAAAGAATCATCAAACGGGTATTATATGGTGCCACTGGCCATCTTTGGAAGTTCCAAATTTGCTACTTGGAAATCCAAGTAATTACAATACCCCAAATATTCAGCAAGTTATCAATACCTGAAGGTCTCGCCTCAAGCAAACAATTGAACAAAAGTCCAAGCTCATTGCGCATGGTCCTTTTGCTTAATTCGACGACACATGTCTGGGCTTCTGGCCCTCCTAGGGATGTGTCAAGCGAAATATTGCTGGGAAACTCCGAGGCCTGGGAAACACCAAGGCTGGATAGAGCAGAAGATAAAAGCATAAGTAATTAGAAAAAAGTAATATATAAAAAGGAAGTTGAAGAGATCTACACACAAACGCCACCTGTGTTTGAATATGACTCTGACTCAATGGCAAACGGCTAAGGCTTGGACCGCCAAATCATCACCTTTGGAGGTGCGACTTATGAACAAAGTTCTGCGGATGGTGTTTTGTGAGTCTGGTCTGGACTTGTTTCTAAATAGCTTCTTGTTACTAGTAGTATGGCCAGGAGCCGCTAGTAGCGTCCTTGCTCCTAGTAGCGATGCCAGGAGCCCCTAGTAGCTTCTTGCTCCTAGTAGCGATGTGAGTCTGGACTTGTTTCAGCTAAACTAAATTCAATTCAATCCCAGCCACTGTGGTTGTACTCGATGAGATACTCCCGATTGCCAAAGGCACCTGTGCTGCTTTCCTCAAACAGGGAAGGTTGAAATGTCCAAAAAAAGGTTGGAGGCATTTGCTTGACCTGTCCAGTGCTGTAAGATTTGACCAAACTATTCCAAGCTCCAAACAATCCAGGCAAAGTCAACGTGGTAGGCGGTGATCTGACACTCACGGCAAGTGGCTGACAGTGCCCCCATTCACGAGCTATTTGTCTGGATTCTCTAAACAGGCCTATAGTCCAGGCAAAAGCACAACGCACAACTTTGTCCTTCCATAGATGCTTTGCGTCCAATACGTTCTGACAGGAGTGTTTGCCCATAGCTATGTGGCCTTCGCTTTCTCCTCAGGCGCTTTGAAGGAAATTGAGCCTCCTACCTGGCAGCAGTGCAAACGAACATGTTGCCATGAAAGCTTTAAAGCACAAAGCTCAAGTAGTCAAACGGGTATTGACACCAATTTGCCGCGAAGCATTTCTAACTGATTGCCAAATAGAACATGTCTTTTCTCATTTCCTGTATATACCAACAAAAGTAGGACGTCTTCGAACAAGACCGGTCTCTTTGGTATACAGTACTTAATGTGCTTACTTTTTGCTTCTTTGATCAGCCCTGAGAGGCCTCATCCACATCAAGGTCGTAGTCATCCAAAGTCCTCAGCATTCTTAGAAGCTGCTTGGATTTTTGGCATGTAGAGTGTACTCAGGATCACTGAACTTTGGTAGTTTATCTTGCTAGGACTCTCTTTCTTTCGCTCCTGAAGATTCATTTGAAACTCAAAAGCCGGTGGTGGTCATTGCTCTGAGCGACTGGCAAATTAGTGACGCTCAAGCCAACATCCGAGATAGAGAAAGCCTTGCTTGGCTTGGGCAAGAACTTAGTTTCAGGGAAAGTCCTTTTCCTCTGCTGCCAAGTAAGAAAGTATGTAGGCAGGATGGGACTTTGTAAATGAGCAAATGCGTTCTGGCATCGCTGGTGAGAGAGAGAATGGTAGTCAAAATGAACGTCATGTTTGGCCACAACGTCCATCTGGTTTGTGAGATACTTCAACTGTATGGCCAGGCATCCCCACACTCGGTGTTTGCTGCTCTGAAAAGCTAGACTGTGCATAAAGCAGCAAATAGCTCCGAGTGCCTCCAGTGCAATAGTTTGAGGTGTCTCAAACATCAAAACTTGAAAGCCATCATGTCACATAGTTTCTTCTTAACGAAGTCTGGATAATTGGTTGGTATGGCCCGCCCGCCTGCATATGAGTCAATGGGCACATAGACTTGAGTAGATCCAGTGCTCACAGTAGCCAGCTGGCAAAGCGAGTCAGCGATCATCTTCAACAATCTAGTTCAGTTGCTACAATTGTACATACTGTACATACATGTGTATGCATATCTATACACAATTTTAGTGTGGTACCCGCTGGGCCTACCGTTTCAACTCAACAAAAGCCCGTTATTTACAATGTCTTATACACAATTAAGGGGTGCACTTGTTGGGAAGATCTTTGGTCCAGGGGCCCGCGCGCTAGATTCGTTTTGTGTGAATTCCACATCCAAAATCCGCGATGCCTATAAAACTGAACAGAAATTAAACAAAATTTGAAGTACCCCAACTGGCAAAGAATACCAATCCCTAATATCTGACCTTGGCAAAACCTCGACAGGCTGAAAAGGATCAAATCCTCTTTGCAACCAACACAATGGCGTTGCATGTCTTCAGCATTTGCAAAAGGCTCTCGGAGAATTGACTGTATAAGTGAAATAAACGAACTCAATGATTCAATTCTTGTAGTTGTTTGAATTCCGAGGAGAATAATTCTGAGGAGAATTGTATATAGTATAAACGAATTCAAAAGAACTAAATGAGTTCTCACGAAAGCTGTCTGACTCGGCGCACCTGAGAAGTACGGTCGCTGCCTGTGGTGTCGGAAGCTGCATAGACGTTGTACCTGTCCAAGTATGGACTGTCAATCTGCTACTAACGATGGCCTCCAACCTAGCAAAAGGAACCTAATAGTCATAGTGATGCCCTCAAACCTACAAGCAATGGCCTCCAACCCAATAGCGATGGCCTCCCTCCAAAAGTAATGAGCCACCCTGCGCAGCGGAAGAGGCCAGCCTGGTGATTGTGCTGTCGGCCTGGCTTGATGTGTTGATCTCAAAGTCAAGGTAGCCACCGAGCCTTAGACACATAGCCCCTGCTATTTGGCGAATGAAACCAAGGGTCCTTTATGTCCTTTATGCATCTTTATTCGCTCCAGAAGAGCTTGCACAAGTGATCGCACAGTTTGTGCTTGTCTTCAGGAAGCTGAGGGCTCTGCTGGCCTTCATCCAGATCCAAATCGTCAAAAGCCGTGATTGACACTTCGACGTATTCATCCTGAGTGCCAGGTCATTGGTATGATCCTTTTACCTTTTGCTTGTTTCTATTTTAAGCGGTGAGGTGCTCCCATTTGAGGAGAAAGGGAGGAGCAAGTTCAAAGCGCAAGCTCTCAAAAATTGTGCCCTCCGCAGCTCACTCGCTCTACAGCACGGGCTGCCGGGCGGTGAAGGCAACAGCTTTGGGCGTAGAGGCTTCTGCCAGCGCGCTGGCGGTGTAAACCAACAAGTAGCTGAAGCTGCCCAAAGCTGTCCTTAGATTAGCATGCCCAACTGCAAAGGCCAAAGGCATGAAAGCCATGGCTAAGTTCTCATAAATCCAAGCTTTTGTGAGAATTTACAAGTAATTGATACAGTAGTTATATCTATGATTTGCAGTTATATATACAAAAATGATCGCATTCTTGCGTTGAGTGTGACATCTGGGTTGCAGGCCCATCAGGCACTGTCAGTTGAGAGCTAGCGCTGTTTGCTTGGCCCACCAATGAGCGGCCTGGTCGCACAAGCGCAAATCAAAAGAGTTGAGAACTGTTCGCAGCAACTTTCATTGAATGGACAGAAAGCAGCACCATTCTGCCTGTGCCAGTTGCGTCTTCTGCCAAGTACACATAGTACCCCTGCAGCTGGCTTGTGTCCTGTGCTGGCCGTTGAGGGAAAACCGAGTGCCGGGATCGATATGTTCATTGTCATGCTTCGATAATAGAGGTTGGGAATGTCTGCGTCAAGTACTCAATTCTGTAAATATGTGCTTGTCCTGCAGCACAGCTTTCCATGCCGTGCAGTGGTGGTGATATTTCAGTGTTTGAGTCTTGTTGTGACAGCTATGAGTGGGAAACTTTTGACTCGCAAAGTTGACAAAGAGGAACGGTCCGTCGGAGGGGTCCATGTCACCACTCCTCCTGGAGCACGTGTGCTTCAACAAGGTCTTTTGGACACATGATTCAACACAAAGTCGTCTTTCACATCACATCTCTAGATCATCATTGCTAACCTAATAGCGATGGCCTCCCCCTAGTAGCGTCCTTGTTACTCCCTTCATAAATATCTAAGGACAAGAAGGGCCAATCAAAGAGAGGACGAAAGCAGCTTCTTCACAAAGACACTGTGAACTTCAGTGATCCAGCATAATTATAGCACAAGCAGTCTTCGCCGAGGCTGCTGCCTATCTCATAGCGGTCTAGGTCACTATCTGCAAACACCACATTGGTTGCCTGCCAAACAAGCCGCACACTCAAGCCACATCTCACCAAAACCCGTGGGAATCGACACGCTCATGCATTAAGCCTCTAAGCTTGTCTACTTTGACCGCGAATATTGCACTTCAATCATGCAATGGGCACAATGGACACAGCATGGTGCATTCTATCAAGCCTGGGACATTTGCTTGATTGGGTTCCCCGGCAACGGCAACAGCATCCTGGAAGGCCAAGCTAGCTGGTGTGCTTTGCTCCTGGCAGAGTTTGGTTCGCAACCTCTACTGTGAGGCAGCAAGGCCTGATCATACATCTCTTGAGCCCTCCCGACAACCCTTTCCTGCCAGCTTGTTTCGGTATAGACCAGGAAGTGTGTAAAGTTGAGGCGAGGTGTGTTGGCTGATAGCTGCAGCTCATTGGTTCCTGAACAGAATGCTTTTTGAAAAGAATCCTCAAGCAATGTATGCAAGGAAAAGCAAATCCAAATTTTCAAGCTTCTGGCCGACCGGCACAGCGGTCTCCACCTGAAGAGTCAGGCAAACATCGAAAGGAATCTCTTTGGACCTGTGGGAACGGTGGCTCTTTCTTCGGCCTGAGATCGAGCTGTTCCCACAGCATCCTCTGCCAGGTAGACCAAATACCTTTGGGTATAGACCTTACTGTCAGCACCAAAGCACAACACGGAAATGTGACAAGCCGAATCTAAGCTGTAGGCCACCCATGCTGGAGGACTCCATGTGATGATACCACCCAGTTCATTCAGGTCCAAGTCCTCTCATTCAGATTCTCAAACAACACACGACTTCATAACTTGGACAGGTAAGTCGTAGTCATATGTCAAAAACAAATCAGGCCTGGCCCGTGAAAGCAACATCTGAGACACTCTCCGTCACATCATAGAAAAGGTACGGGTCACAGCTTGACCTGCAGGGGTTTTCTGAAGAAACACCTTTGATATGACTTTTACTTGTACCCAAACAAAACTGATACTGCAAACCTTTCGACATGAATCTCACTGGGAAACCCTGCTGCTCCACGCCAGCTGAGACCAGGCAAACCTCACTTGCAACCAGCTGGACGAAAGCACTTGTGAAATGGACAGCTGTTGGAACTCACGAAAGACCGAAAGACATGTCGTTCTGGGAAGCTTGCCAAAAGATGTGTCGAGCCATTCGTCTCCGTGTCCAGCGGTATATCATACTCCTGCAGATTCCGGAAAAGAAACATCTAGCAAATAGGGTAATCTTCAAACCCTGGATATGATAAGAATGTCTTGCGCGATCGTCTCCACTTGACAACTCTCAGTCCGTATTGGAGACGCCGCTGAGGTCTGCCAGCTTGATGAACTTCGACACTGCCTCATGCAGCCGGAAAGCGGGACAAAGAAGTCGGGGTCAAAGGGACGCTTCAATCACGGCTGGACATGACTGATTTGGACATTGACACGGTTGGGTCTTGGTGGAGGTCGACAAGCTAGCAACGAACCATTGGGTATGGCAGAAAAGTGTCTCTATTGCTTACATCAGGCCAACACTCTCCTCTGCTATCTTTATAACTGCTTCAAACCGCCCTTAAGGTGTGCACATCGCCAAGATAGAGCGCGTATCCTGAAACCTGGTGTGAAGGTCTTGTTGGTTTCAAACAGTTTGACAATATAAATATCACTGTAGACGATATCAACCAATGAAAGAGGTCGTGCAAGTCTTGGTCTCTTAGGCTCGGCCTGTGCCAGTGTGGCTTGGTCCCAGGTTATGTTGCCTGCAACCTGAAAAAAAACAATGGGATTTAAACGTAAAACGGGACAGGTAGTCGCAATTTGAAGACTGGATAGATGCTGCAACAAATATCTGGATCAAGGCCAAAATCAGGCCTGTCCAGCATCCACATCCACATCCGAAAAGGATATATTACCAGCCTTGGAAAGCTCATTGTTCTTGCTGCATGTCATAGATTTGATTTCAAGTCCAACAAGTAGCTGAAATCTGCTCGTCCACAAGAACAATCGTCGCTGGAGTGGACTGCTCCTCAAGACTTGACCTGAGCGAAACGGGTATTCCGAGTCAAAAACAAAAAGGCCCAAAACATAAGGCTCAGAGATGCTAGAGGGAGATCCAAGGCTTTCTGATCCAAAAGGACACTGTGCTTTCTGGTGGGAATCCCCAATTCTTGAATATGATATGTAAATTAGGTTGTGGCGATTGGAGAATGTTTCCATGACACTGTCTCCAGACGAGTTTGCGTTGAGCATTGGCCACTGAGTTTGCAACTTGGCATAGACACCGATATGCGTCTGTGACTGCGCTATAGTCACAGTGGAGAAAGACACCTGAGCAAGTGGCAATCAATCTCTGAGAACTCCACTGTACTCTCTCTTTACTGGAAGGACCAACCCGTCTCTGGTTAATCATGAGAATGTCAGCGCTTTGCCTGCCTGGTTGGTTCCCACTGCGACATGGCTACCCAGCTGTGCTCGCGTGCTGCAAAGACTGCCGGAGCACAGGTAGGTACCTGGCCACAGCTCCGACCACAGGGAATGCAAATCAAAACAGCCATTTGCACAACATGGCACAAAAAGCTAAGCTTCTCACGATAGCCAGTCACTTGAGAAGTATCTGATGGAGGAGTCCAAGTTACACTACCTCATCACTATCAGAATCAGAGCTCCATAGACTCGAAAAACTATGTCAAGAAATCCACAAACTGCCTCAGAATTTTTGTGTGTCTCACGAATATCTCAGGCTAGCGCCAGCAATCTCCAACGCATCCACGTCATTGTCAACGAACCCAACATTTGAGACCTGCACTTGTTTGGAACTGTTCAAAAGGACAATCCTCACCTGCCACCATCTGCAGCATGGCGCATTCTCTATGGCATCCAAAGAGTCCGATGTAACACAAGAAACTGGGTTCCCAACACTAGCCGATGTATCGGAAATTCCAGTGGCCGATGGCATGTCTTGCTCCTGCATCTACGCCAAGTTTGGAGCGCATTGCACACTGGTGTGCTTGGCGTCATTTTGAGCATAGCATGTCGCATAAACACATTCTGCAGGCCGGGGATCTGGCTCCCATGCTAGATTCGGTGTAAACTAGAACGTAGCTGTACCTGCCCAAGCATTCACCAAGTCAGAAGAAATGATGCGTGACATAACCCTCGTCCATGGGCAAGTGGAATTTGCCCAATAAATGCGACTAACATGAAGCCCCAAACAGCTGAGTGTCAGGAGTCAGAAGACTAGAAATGCATCCATGTTGGAGTTCTGGACTTGTAAGCCCCTCGCAGTTGAAGAGCACTGTCAACATAAGTGAAACCTTGAGCTGAAGTGAGTTCAGGATGCGCTTGGTACTCTGATCAGTTTCAGGCCGGGGCTATGATTGCCTGGGTAGGTGCTTCCAACGAAGCTGCGACCAGTGCCAGTGGCGTCGGCAGCGAGGTACACCTTGCGACTGAAATCAGAAAAGGCACAGTTGTCCCATTTTAACCTGGAAAAATCAAGCAAGATCTGGATTCAACACTTTAACAACTGGACTAATGCGAACCAAGCAAGCACGGCGGCTCTTCATTCCTCGCCGACCCTCACACCAAGCCAAGGACATTGTATTGCACTACTTCACTGTCATTGGCAGGGGCCGTCCACCTGGCGTGGGAGCATAATGCACCTCAAGGACACCTGAGCACCTACAAACATAAGTGGCTGGATAAAGGAAAGCAAGCAATTCAAGCAGGGGTGGCTGGATGACACCGCCCAGTTCGCCCGCATCCAACCGTTGATCCTGGAACAAGTGAGCGTGGTCTCAGAATGTATCAAAAAACTGTCCTACACATGCCCCCCAACTACAAATGTTTCTTTATGTGTTTTTCGTGGAGGAACACATACATACCAACCGATATGAAAGTTCCCTTCAATTGACCGAGAATTGTAAAAAAAGAAAACATAGTAGAGTCACCTTGGAAGCTCGAGTGTTGTGTGAATACCAAGGAAAACTGGAAAACGTGAAACGTGAGTGTATCTGTGTGTGTGTAACCCTTGGAGAGTCATAGGGAGCCTTTTGGCTTTTATACTTGCACCGGGCACAGGCCCAGAGTGGATACCTGTGCCATTCCACGATGGGGAGCGGAAATTGATCACCTCCGTGTACCAGCTGATGGTTTGTGGCGTCACGCACTCGTCGATCGAACCTCTTGATGAAACTTTGACGCCTTAGGGCCTTTGAGACTTTCGAGGTTCCTTTCCATGGTTGGACTCCTTTGCACTTGTTTTACCCAGGAACTTTGTTCACCTAGGCTTCTGTGTGGCATGTGGCATTCAGACCGTACATACTAAAACCTCGACTGTGTGTGTGTGTTTGTGTCTACAGATTGTCCTGCATGCAATCTGAATTCTGTCGGCATCTGCATTAGCAACTACAAGAAATTGTGTGAGTGTCAGCCGTCAGGAGACACCATCCATCATGCACATCTGCAGATCTCGTCCATCTTGGGCTGGGCTTCCCAGCTATGAACAGAGGTGATTGGGGTGAAAAGTCCAAGTCCGGCAGCGACAGAGCAACAGGGCTTGACTGCAAGGAAGAGGAAGACCTCAGATTTTGCTGGTATCTCAACTGACTCAACTATGTGGACAAGTCACCACGAAATACTGTTCCCTAAGGAACTGGCTGAGAATAAATAAGAATCTCTGTGTAAGAAGCATTGGTGGAGACCTAGGCAAGGGCTTTGACTTGTCAGGCTCACAGAATGTTGAAAGCTTCTGAAGTTTAGCTAGACCCTCTGTATTGAATCATTTGCTCCCACACTGTGCCCCGAAGTTGGAGATTGAACAGGGTCCCCTGCTGGCAGCGTATAGCTGTTGCTGCCAACAGACAGCTCTGCCACTTTCACAGCTGCAATCCCATCATTCAAATACCTCTGCCGCATGCAGGGTTTCGTCTCCACACGCAGCAAGCTTTGTCTATCTGAACACTTCTAGAAACAATGACCCTACTGAGGCAGGAACAAATGATACGCAGACACCTGCACTCGAAATTCAATGTTGAAAAGGCAACGTGACAAGCTGAGCTAAATTCTAGCAATCTTGACCAATGATTTGAAGTCCATCAAGTTGCTTTGCCAATCGAAGATTCTGGGCATCACTTAACGCTCGCCTGCGAGAGATCCAACGGAGGCGTCCAAGATATAGGTCCTTGGCTAACAAATCTGATTCATTGGCGCGCGCTCTACAGCCAAGGGTTGGTCTATAGAGATTGCAAATCACAGCTTCATGCACGCCCCTGTTTCCGCTCAAGCCCCAAGTCTTCCCACTACATAGGTCTATGCACCTGTAGCCTCAACCCATGTGATCCAGTTTTAAGATTCAAGCAAGGACTTAGAGAATTGACACAAATTTCTGCAGTGTCAAATGTGTCTGCTGTTGAACTTTGTACTGTGCAGCGGAACTGAGAACATAGGTAAGACTTGACTAGTGTCCTCAGCTTGGTCAGCCCAACACCATATTGACTAGCTCATCGCCAGTAGGTTGGAGGCCATCGGACTAACACGACATTTGGCTAGCTAAGAATCGCCAATGGAATGGGATTCAGCAGCGCATGGTAGAGTTAATTTGTGTGTTACTGTAAACCTCCTGAGCGGAGGGCCGCCCGCTCCTGACAAGAGATCTGCTCATCGATCTGAATAGGCAAATGTTATGTAAATCAGTGGCCCAAGCCTTGAACTCCACTACTTTCTGTCTACTGTACAGCCCTGCAGCTTTCCATCCGTAATTCGCAAAAGAGTTTTTCAACAAGTGGCCAGCGATGTCTCCATCGTCCGGATCAAGATCAAAAAAATACGGTGAGGTCCTCAGATCAAAGCATTAAAACAAACGCACCAAAAAGCTCTAAGCTGCCTCTGAATGAGCAAATGGTGGTATACAGATTCAACAATTCTAGGGATGCTTCAGAAAAGTTGGAGGTTAGTATTGCTCGATCCTAAGGCTGAGACACACTCCCATCGGTGTCATTGACCGCCTGGGCAACGGCCGTGATGGTCCGACTTGTGCACGAGACTTGGCTCAAGTTCACAGTCAACTTGGTCACAAGTTGCTGAGACTTCAGCGAGAGTGTGCCTCAGATGTTCTACGTTTTTATGCCTGGGTATGCTTGGACTTACTTTCACAAATAAATCGGCCCTGACATGTTCTCTTGAATCTGTACAGGACTTCCAAATAACAACCCAAGATGCGGTGTGTCCTGTTCACCATTCTCGTTGGCAGAATGAACCATCCAATGAGTGTAGACCTGTGAAGCGTTAGACATGGACTGTGGTCTCATGCAACTGTCAAGGCTTCAATCCTGCGCAAGAAACATTGTAAAAATTAAAATGACCTGAGAAGGGGGGGAACCTGAGAAGGGGGGGAACGAAAGCCAGCAGCCGCCAGACGAGAGGGTCATTTGCTACATAGCAAAAGGTTTGGGAGAAGGTTGCGGGGCAGGTCTATGAGGAGGTTCTGGAGAAGGTTCCGGAGCAGGTTCCAAAGCAAACAAGGCTCCAGAGGAGGGCTTGGACAGCGAAGAGACTGTCTCAGTGGCGGTTCTTGCTGTTGGGGACTTTCCTTGGGCTTGTGCCACTGATCCGCCCAAAAAATAATCATACGTCGCAGCTACACCCTTTTCCCAGAGACATAGAGACACAGAACCATAGAGACATAGAGACACAGAGTCATAAAACACAGAAACATCAAACACAGAGAAATTGCTATCTACAGGGGGTCCTTTTCTGATAGCAACTTGTCGCTGCCAACCAATTACCATACTTGCCCCAATACATCCAAGGAGACTTCTCTCACAGGATGACTAGGAGGATGGCAGGAACTATATGTCTCAGCATTGGTGTCACCAACCGTGATCTAAAAATATGGCATAGATCCGTGACTATAACCAATCCTTAAGCAGCAAGTTCTTCACGCCACCAAGTTGCTATCTACACGGGCCCCTGTTCTGATAGTGACTTGCCGCTGCCAACCAACAACCATACTTGCGCCAATACACACAACCAGTATCTATCTATCTATCTATCTATCTGTCTATCTATCTATCTATGATCTATCGATCTATCTATCTATCTATTCTGTATCTATCTAGCTGCGCGGCCAGCCGGAAGCGCTCGACGGTACAGGTAAAGTAGAGACTAGGATGGTTGCTCTGTACATGGGTGCCTGTCTCCACTCCAGTGCTCAGTGCCCATTGTCCAAATAGCCTGAACAGCCCTTCGTGATGCTAATGATGCACTACTCGGCGCCCATTGCATCACTCGCATCAACAGACCCCATTTTCGCTGCTTTTCTGACCCTCGCTTTGGAGCGCTCTCCCCAGGCAAGCTCCGGGTTCACCCTCTCAAATGGTGCCTTTTTGCGGCCTACCCCCTCACACCCCCTTTACTCACTTCGTTCGGTCTAAGAGCTCAAGCCTAGCCTATCGGCTGGCTTTCGTAATCAAATCACAAAATTCCAAAAATCATAAATGCCTGCAAATTCAAACATTCTTCTTCAAAAGAACACACTAAAAGGCTTGGCCCAAGCACAGAAAATGCCACACAAATCACCGGAGACCAACAAACATCGCAACGGCTCACGGGAAATCACTGCAAAAGCCGCATCACTACAAACCACCACAATCACCAGATTCCACATTACCGCTCGAAGAATCACAGCACAAGACACACACTTAGGATAGGGTATACTAAACTGAAAGCAGTGCCACACGCCGGCCTAGGGTTCCATTTCCTAAGGGAACAGGTAAGGAAACCTAAAAGGAAGAGGAGGTCTAACAAGTTCAGCGAGGCCATAAAGTCAAAAGGAACCGCCGAACGATCGACCGACAGAATGACGTCGTCCGCAGAAAAGCCAAGTTCATCACCGCTGCATTAGCCGCTTACTGCAAAACACAGAATTGGAACAGCTTGTCCATTAAGTAGGTTTCTCTCCAAGCAGGTACGTCAATCCGGCGTCCCGGATTGATTTCACCAGCACACATCCAGTGTCTTCGTTGGTGCAAGACTGGGTGGGCTGCTTGCACCCCCTGCTGTGAAACAAAACGGAAAGGCCAACCTGAAAAGTCCAAAAGGATTCTTATGATTCCAAGGGTTACACACACACGCCTCCCCGAAGGGAGGCCTGTTTTAAGCTCCGCGCCAAAAGGTGCGGACAAAGTAGTAGCAAGGCCAGGAACCTCTAGTAACGTCAAAGTAGCGACCTAGCACCTAGTAGGAAGGCCAGGAGCCCCTAGTAGCAACCCAAGCGGTCCCGACAGGAGGGAGGGGTAGGGAGAGACGAGAAAAAGGCTATGACAAAAGCATCCAGGGACACCCAAGGAGGAAGGAAGGTGGAGAGGAAAGAGAGAAAGAAAGAAAGAGAGAGGGAGAGAAAGGGAGAGGAGAGAAAAGGAAAAGGCAGGTGTTCCCAGCTACGAACAATCGTCCAGGGACACACCAAAGAAAGAAAGGGGTGATCCTGAGTCTTCCATTCAGGAAAACCCCAAAAAGCAAGGAAAGAAAGGGGAGGGAAGGGGAAGCAAGACGACTAAGCTCGCGACAGGTTCCAATGAACCTTGAACAAACTTCGGCCGCTGCGGCCACGTACGCCGTGCCAAAATGGCTGGCTGCTTGGACCGCTGCGGTCACGTAAAGGCATGAGTCAACTTGGAATTCCAAAGATGAGACAAACATCCCACTTCTTGAGGCATAAGCCATCTGCTGTCCGCTCCGGACACTTACATCTCCAAAGCAAGGGAGATAACGACGTACCCCCCTTCAACGGGTCCACGGGAGGCACTCTGCGGGCTCATCCCGGGTTGGCACGAAGCCAAACACACTTAGGATAGGGTATACTGAACTGAAAGCGGTGCCACACGCCGGCCTAGGGTTCCATTTCCTAAGGGAACAGGTAAGGAAACCTAAAAGGAAGAGGAGGTCTAACAAGTTCAGCGAGGCCATAAAGTCAAAAGGAACCGCCGAACGATCGACCGACAGAATGACGTCGTCCGCAGAAAAGCCAAGTTCATCACCGCTGCATTAGCCGCTTACTGCAAAACACAGAATTGGAACAGCTTGTCCATTAAGTAGGTTTCTCTCCAAGCAGGTACGTCAATCCGGCGTCCCGGATTGATTTCACCAGCACACATCCAGTGTCTTCGTTGGTGCAAGACTGGATGGGCTGCTTGCACCCCCTGCTGTGAAACAAAACGGAAAGGCAAACCTGAAAAATCCAAAAGGATCCCTATGATTCAAAGGGTTACACGGATTGCACTGCCGGAGCTGGAACTAGGATCTGCCCCTTCAACTCAGTGGCTTTGTCTGGACTCAAGGGCTCCGAACGCCAAGCGCGGTATTCGCAGGCACTTGAGCACTACCTCACGTACTCGCTCAACTTCAGTTCGTCCAACGGACAATTGGACAGGTGCCATGCTTCGAGGGATTCAGTCTTTGACCCGAGGCTGCACTGCTCAGCAGTGATCTTGGGGTGCCAGTTTCCTCACAAAGCGTGACTAAAAACGAAAAGGTTCGACTCACCGTGCTGGAGTTCCCATCCTGCGCCAAGTAGAGGCGGTACTCCGTAATGGTGAAGTCCACCTCAATCAAGAGCATACACACAACCGCCAGTACAATAGAATAGTTTGAGGGCTGCCAAGCTTGAGAGCCCATAGAGTAGGAGGGCGGCTTGCAAGCGACTGCGAAAGGTCCCGATCCATTCTGAAAGGCTAAGAACTCTGGCACATTACTGTCCCAATCCAACATGATGGAAAACAAATGGGCTGTGTGATGATTGTTTTCAGGGATTAACACAAGGACAAGATTGTCCTGGGACGAAACCTAAGAATCCAATGTCTAGAGTGCTGAAGTTGGCTTAGATGTGTGATGTGTGGCTTCACTGCTGACAAATCCATGTCTAGCTCTTCTATTGAGGCTGGCCTGTGCTGGCGTCCAGCTAACAGTGCCACCAAGCTCAGCAACATCCAAATCCTCCAGTGAAGATTTGACTGTCTTTAAAGTTGCCAGTAGAAACAAGTGCCACGCTAGTAGTAACAAGTGCCTTACTAGTAGTAACAAGTGCCTTACTAGTAGTAACAAGTGCCTTACTAGTAGTTCCTTCTCCCTGTCTCCTCGTCTGCAAAGGCCAGGTCAGATGCCATGAAGCTGGCAGCCTGTCCAGCCCAAAAACTCAAAAGGAGAGACTTCTGCCTGGTATTCATCTTGCCAAAGTGTTCCAGGTATGGCATGTGGTAATTCATTATAGCTGAAGGACTACCACAGATGGACGACATGATTCAAAATCTTCAAACCACCTTGACCCCTTCCACCCCAAAACCCAATGATAGCAAGCTTGCCAAAGCGTTCGGGCGAAAACTTGAAAGAAGTCGGGTTCAACATGAAAGTTGGGGGTCAGGGCTTCGTGACAGCTCCCTGACTTAGGTGTTTAAAAGCTTTGTCCATCTTCAGTAGTTCTTAGCAGGCGACTCCCATCGCGACTCAGTTGACTGGCCGGCTGAAGTAACTGAGGCCCCCGGACAACATCTGTCAATGAAAGTGCCACTGGGGTAGACCTGACTTCCAACATGGTCAACAACATAATGAACTATACTGTATCGTATGTACGTATGTATGTATGTATGTATGTATGTATGTATGTATGTATGTATGTA